TCAATTAAATATGAATTCAAATCTAATTGTTAAGTATGGATATTGTTTATACAATCATATAAACAAATATGATAAAGTCAGCAATGTTAACATTTTTAGATAGTAACAAGAAGTAGTCAATAGGAAACGCCTGATCTGAGATTCATGATATTTACAGCTGGTCATCAAATATTACTGACGAGCCATCACATAAATATCTACATTTATAATTATTTATTTAACTAAGTCCTTCCTAATTTCATTTCCATAAGCTTAAAGAACCAGTCAAAGGGTCTGACTATGCATAAGTTAATTTAATTTCTGAAATAAAATGGAGAATGATTTAGACGCTTCTAGGTATTGTTTGAGCATTGACCTATTTTGACTTATGGAAAAATTGATATTTCTGATGTTCATCAGAAGGGGTTTTTGTGGATATTTCAATATTTTCATAGTTGAAATCATGAGTCAATTGAAGCTAGACCACTATGGAAAACCTGGAAGCACTGGACGGCTGTTTCGTTCTATTATGGGACTCCTCAGTAAGATGAAACGGCCGTCCAGTGCTTCCAGGGTTTCCATGGTGTTCTAGCTTCAATTGACTCATGAGTTCTGATGTTCTCAATACAAAGATACTTCTAACAGTAATGACTAAATCTTAAACTTATGTATTAAACACTTCTCTCGGGTACATAACTTAATTAAGGAGCTTTTATTGTCATTTTGAGAAACATTATCAGAGCTTACTTCATATAGAATCTAGTTACTTAGATATCTTGTAAACAATAACTTAATTCATTTGTGATTGCCCTAATTTATCCTTAAGAACTCCATAGTCAAATTGAAGATAACATCCTTTAAGATCTAATATCTGATCTTGAAAACTACATGAATCGTCAAAATTCAAACTTGATTGATCGGGTTGATTTACTTTTTTTCCAACAAATTTGAATAGTTAACCGACCATACTTTAGTAATTATTTTACAAGTTTACTTTCGAATCTTTAGTATTAACAGTGATAGAGCCATTTGAATTTAATTATATAGTGTGTGGAACAAGATATTATCCTTTTCCTTGACTGATGATTGTACTGTATCATAAATCATCTGAAATGAGAACATATGCCAGAGTGAACATCAACTCTGAGATGCAGGTACATCTAGCTGACGAAGCCCAAATAAGACGAAACGCAAGTCAAACTGGATTACACTGCTAGCCATTATCCATGTTTGCTTACCATGCTTGTGAATTTAGGCTATATCGAGACAATACCCACAGTATGCACATATGCCAATAAAAGACTGACCAGTTTCAGTCCTAAAAACATCAATGCGATGATTCAAACAAACAATAATAAGTGAATATGAATTAACAGTTTCCGATTCAATGTTCTAAACCTTTATGGTGATTATGACAAAGTCATCAGATTCTGAATTCCATCTCTGGTATGGTTTTGAATGCACATTGTTTATCAGTTTCGAATTAAGACGAAACTACTGACTCCTAGATGATATCAAAGATCTAATTTCATAATACCTCTTCCAATCACTTCATTAGATATCATCGATATTGATTTAATTCTTTTGGAATCAAAATAAAATTTTCAAGTTAAAGTAATTCACACCAAACAATTGAATATTGACACCAGAAAGTCTTTAAATAAATTAAGTGCCTTTGAACACAGCATAGTGTAATGTTATAATAAGATAAATGCAAACAGTTAATGAATGTATATCTAAATAGATTACAGGTTTTTACTGGGTAGTGTATCATGTTGTACGTTTTGAATATCTATACTGATTTGTCACCGGATAGTCACAAACATTCTGAGCGTTATCAGAGTTCTGTCAATCATATTACAAATTTGAGTGAATGGATGATTTTCAAAGGACCGAACATCAAGTTAGAGGGCTTTCTTACGATTACCTCCCAATGACTAACATGTTAGACCAGTAAAATATGGAAGTAATTATAACAATCGTTAAGGGTTATCTCAATAACCAGGTACAGAAATGTGTACTTGGCATCGAACCAAGACTGGTGATTCTATTCAGTTTTCTAAACTGAAGTAGATGTAGAGCGTTTTAAAGCTGAAATTTAATGGCAATAATTGACCTCTTTAACTACTGAGCCATATTCCCATTAGTCTTTTCTAATGGAATCTACTATCTTTGCAAGTGAAATGTAACGTAACTAATTGTCTAATCCACATAGTTCAAAATGATAACTGTTTTTATGTGAAGCAAATTCATACAAACCGCTTAACTATATTAAGTGATCATTAAGTTGATCATTCTATTATTATGGGACTGTGGAGATTACTGTTTTTGATTGAGATCATGAACTGATTGACGTTAGATCACCATTGAAAACTTGGAAGCCGTTTCGCTCTATTGTGGGACTTTTATTGGTCTGCTTGTGTTTGCCCACTTATAAGGCCTTGTCTATATGTGAGAACATTCTTGTTTTTCTATTATAAACTTCAACTTCACATATGAATTCCGTTGGGTTTGTCAGGTTTTTAAATAAATCGTTACTTCTAAGGTGTCACCGATTGTATAGATTTGAATGGACTATATTTTATAATCTATGAAATAAAGGCAACTGATATTGTTTGAATAATGTAAGCAGAGGCGAACTCGAACAATCCTCTACTAAACTACAGATTGTATAATCCATTAACTTGTTGTGAATGATGTTAAGATGAACTCATATCCTAGATACCTCTAGTCTGAACCCTACTTAAATATGAGTAATATATAACTTCATTAGTTTAAACAGTACACAGTCTATTGGTTTGACTTCTTTTCCAATTGTTTACTAACAATCAATTATATGACTACATTTGGACAGAAATAGTTGGACATAATTTGCAAGGTATAACTCATTAGTTGAAATCTTATTGTCTAAACTAATTAGTCGTTATGAGCAAAGATGGATAATGGCTAGCAGTGGAATCCGGAATGCGCGTTTCGTCCTATTTGAAACTCGTCAGCTAGATGTACCTGCATTTCAGAATTGATGTTCGTTATTCCAAAAACGGGATTCATCTATCTTGTAGCGTATGATATTTCGTTTTGTTGACGAATTAATTTACTAAAAGGGAATATGTTAAACATTTTATTCTGGTTAGCCGGGAAACAGAAGCAGATATGAAAAGAGTGAATAACAATTGGAAGGAACTGGAAAGGATTGCCCTGGACAGAGTTGGATGGAGAATGCTGGTGAGCGGCCTATGCTCCTCCACGAGGGGTAACATGCGTAAGTAAGTAATACGTTGAACAAGTAAACAGTTACTTTGGAAAAATAATGTTTTATTAAATCAGTATTGGAATTTTATATATTTAACTCTCTAGTCAAATTGATTATGAATGGATTCTTACCGTGACAGTTATTCAGGTTTGATTGAGTAATTATCGCCTAACAATAATAGTTGTCATTGTTGACTTGACCTCCTAGTATTTAGTTGATTGATCGATTTCATGTAATCAACAATAAGAAAATTATAATACAGCACAACAATTTCATTCATGAATTCGAAGATGTTATTTCCACTAATTGACAGTTAGCTCCATCTAACATAAGCTAGAGATTAGTCTATGTAACAACTTATATGCCGTCACAAACACATAACGAAAACTATTTTGTGATTAAATTCACTTGGTGTTTGTTTACTTGTATCTTCCTATTGTTATTTAAGACTACAATTGATCAGTCTGTTGTTGGAATAGGTGCATCCTGTGCGGATATTGCCTGAGGTCCGGACTCAGTAGCTACCGTTTAAAGAAAACGGTACTGGGTTCGAGTCCCAGAGTGAAAATCAACTCTGGGATGCAGGTTCATCCAGCTGACGAGTCCCAAATAGGATGAAACGTGCGTCCTGGATTCCACTGCTAGCCACTACTCATCTTTCTTTTGTAATTAATTTGAAGATAAACTGAAAGAATGAGACTATAATTTATGAACGACCTTTGAGCTCTGCTAAAGTGGCCTTGGGAATGTCCACTTACTGACTAGGGCTAAATGAGGTTATTAAACCTATATGAAGGATAAAGATTATGATTTACAGTTGATGCTTAGAGATAGGGATTAGATATAGAGTTTTCATCACGAACTGACATCGGCTGGATTGCCAAGATGTTATTTAGGCAAATAGATAAAGAATTTAGCGTCGAAGTCCAAGACTTATAATCGTAAATCTGATTGGTTCGTCCATAAATTAGAGTCTCGCCGTTATCATTACAAAAGTAGTATTAGTTAACGTGTCAGGGGAATTTAATTCATTATTATGTAACCGACATGACATTTGACGATTTCTGCATATAATACATTAGCATAATAATAAACCTTAAAATTGCACAAGTCATGATCTTCAGCAAAACTGTGTAGTGTGCTAATGATAACAACAGATATAAGTAGTATGTATCAAGAATCGTAAGTGAAATGCCTGGAGTCAGAAGTCTGAGAAGATCAAGGAAAAAAGAACGAGAACAGAGAATGATTTCTGTGGAAAAGAAGGAACAGTAAAGTTTGAGACGATTGTTTGACATTTTGTAAATGAAGTATTTACTATATGGATCTCAGATTTTACTATGAGATTCTTTAATTTTGTGTACAAATACATTCGATTGCTTCCATATATGTTCCCGTTTACCACAAAACTAATATATCGTCAAATGAATTAGACAACTAATAAACAACTTTCATACAAATAAAACACATAAATGATAGTTGTAATCATGAGTCAATTGAAGCTAGACCACCATGGAAAACCTGGAAGTACTGGATGGCCGTTTCGTCCTTTTATAGGACTCCCCAGCAGTGTGCATCCACGATCTCACCTTGCCTCACAATATTCGAACCCAGGACCTACCAGTCTTGCTCCAGAGCACTTCACCAAGTTTTCCATGGTGGTCTAGCTTCAATTCACTCATGATTTCAACTATGAAAAATACGGAAATCTCCACAAAACTCCTTTTGATACATATAATGATACTTGGGAGAAAAAAATTCAACTTACGTCCAGTTGGTTTAGAATTTAAATATCCAGAAAGACGTTGCCAACTTGACATATTTCCGTCTTTTAAACGGATATCTTCTAATTTACTTTGTATGAATATTTTTTTGAAAGAAAATATTCCTATTTTTTGTTTGTTTTTCAATTCCCGTTTTCCTTTTTTTTTTTTTTGAAAATCCCTCTTCTTTATATTCAATTAATGAAATAGTTTTGTTTGTTTTAACTTGAACAAATTCCTCTTTTCTTTATGGAAATGATTTCAATATGGATACTGATAATAAAAAAAAAAGTTTACCCAGTTACACAAAAGTTTATAAATAATAATGATTTAGTAATTTTTGTGAGAATTAAAAAAAGAATAAATAAAAAAAAAAAGGAGAAGAAGGAACATAGTAACAGATCAGTAAATACTATTGGTCATCTAATATCTCAATGAAGGTCGATAATGTTATGTTTTACACTTTTACATGTATAACTCTAATAATTGTGCTTAAATGAATGTCTATGCTTAAGGATTAATCAACCAATAGAAGTATGAACTGTTAGAAGACTGATAGTATGGTATATCTATATATGTATACAAACGACGTATACACTCATACTTAATATATATAGCACATATATATATATAGGTGTGTACATGGTAATAAATGAGCACTGATTTTAATTATAATCTAAGTGATTTATAATGACTCTAATTCTAATTTACTGAAGAAAGTTGTATATAATCGAGAATTCGATTTGGTAAACAAGGGATTTGAAGTAGAGAGTTCTCATAAGATGTCATATGATTGTGTAAAATTCAATTCTTATCAGAAGGGGTTTTGTGGAGATTTCAGTATTTTCATACTTGAAAGAATGAATCAATTGAAGCTAGACTACCATCGAAAACTTGGAAGCACTGGAAGGCCATTCCATCCTAGTGTGGGACTCCTTAGCAGTGTGCATTCATGATCCCGCCTCGCGAGAGAGATTCGAACCCAGGACCTACCGGTTGAAGCTAGACATTAACACCATTGACGCTGGATCAGTGATCTATCAGTTAAGTGCTCTGGTGCGAAACTGATAGGTCCTGGGTTCAAATCTCGTGAGACGAGGTCGTGGGTGCGCGCTGCTGATGCATTTAATGTATGGTTTTCATATTTTACAGAGGCATTGTTTAATTTTACATAAAACAGTCCATTGGTTTTCACCACCAAGTTTTCATTCATTACGATACTAATGAATTGAATTTTCATAGTTGAAAATATAAAATCAATTGAAGTTAGACCACCAAGGAAAAGCTGGAAGCACTGGACGGCCGTTTCGTCCTATCGTGGGACTCCTCAGTAGTGCACATCCACGATCCCGCCTCACAGGTTTCGAGCCCAGGATCTATCAGTCTCGCGCCAGACCGATAGACCATTGAGCCGGAATCCAATGGTTAATGTCTAAACTCAACCAATCCACGAAATCGCGCGACCAACTTCCATTGTACTGAGGTAGATACCTGTTTCTACCTGACATGGATTAGCTTCACTGGCCACGATTTCCCACTAGAACTCCAGGAATTACCTCATGGAGCCAGTCACTAGTGAGCATATGATCATTATCACAAGGGCTTTTTGTGGAGATTTTTCCACGGTGTTCTAGCTTCAATTGACTCATGATCTTAACTATATAACACCCTTGTGAAAATAAAGAAATGATCTGATCTTTGTTGTCCTGTTGACTTCATGAAGATTTTTTTTTATTATATAAGGTGGTTTTCGCATTCTGAACTATTTTGAACTAAAAACAATCAGAAACATTGAATAGATGTTTTTAACTTAGCTTTGAACTCTTCATGCTGGTGAGTGGCCTACGCTCCTCCACGAGGAGTAACAGACGTAAGTAAGTAAATTGTACTCTTCATCCATTCACGGACACGAAGTCATATGGAATGAAATTTTGACTATTAGATTTATAGTTTTTAAAGATGGAACTAAACTTGGGTTGATATTTTTCTGTTATACATTATTTGCTTTATAGAAAAGAATTCTCAGCCCAATACTTACTATATTACTGTTCATTCTAAATTAACATATATCTCATTTGTAGTTGTAATAATCTGTTCAAAAAAATACTATATCAGTCTGTAGCGGTAAATAAATCCCCAGAATTAATAGCTCTGTAAGTCTTTGACACGTTGGTTTTACTGGACTCTCCTAGCTGAAGGTGCTCGGTTAGCTATCCGCACCCGATCACGAGTGTGTACGCAGTGCTACATATCTCCTATAACCGCTAGCCAGCTTTCCGATATATCGATAGATCGTCTAATATATGGTTGAACCTCTTCAAATCTGACTTCTGATTTGACTGGGTTAGTATATTTCGATTCTAAAAAAAGTTACTGGTCAAGGCGTAATCAAACTCTGAATACTTGTGGCATCTTGTAGTCTTTATTTCCTATTCATATTACACTGTAAGAGTTTTCAAAGAATTTTAGGCGAGACTGAACTATAATGACGACCTTTGAACGAATCTTAAATGACCTTGAAAAATATTAGCCAATCAGAAGACACTTAGTATACAGTAAAAATATATGATACAAAACTCAAAAATTAAAGAGGATACTGTTCTTTTACATGACTTGAAGACTTCTCGAGGTGAGATATAGGTTCAAAAGTTCTAAAATCATAGTGCATACGGTACAGGAACACATCCATATGGCTCCATAGTAGTCGACCTCTGAAACCATAATAAGGTCTCAAAAATTCTTTTAGCCTCGACCACATAGCTCCAATGTTGTTGGTATATTGGTATGGTTTACGGTTTAGGGTTAAGGGTGAGACTGTAATTTATGGACGACCTTAAAGCGACGCTAGAGTGACCCTGAAAGTGTCAACATAATAACAAAGACTAAATGAGGGTATAAAGCTGTGTGAAGAATTCAAATTATGATTTAAAGTTCACGGTTAAGGCTAGGAATTATACTTAGGGTTTTCATCACGAACTGACATCAGCTATAATGCCAAAACTCTATCTATCCAAATGGATAATTGAATTTCGCGCCAAAATCTTATGATCACTTCTTTAGTAGACGCTGAATTATCACGTCTTCCCTAAAATCCGCTGTAAATCGATCGTACGTAAGCGTCAGGTACCGAACTTAGTGCCGTGACCTTGAAAACCCACGAAAGCTTCTGATTGGCTCGGCGATATAGTTTAGTCTCGCCAGAATTTTATATGGCATAATATGTTTTAATTTATTAATTACAATCTTTTATTCTATAGCTCCATCACATCATAGATTTGTATCTTGTATTATTTAACGCCCTGATAAGTTCATGGTTTTACAATGGTCTTAAAACATTACTTCGTTTATATGAAAAAATAAATGACCAAAAACTACAGAAGTATGCCCAAGATACAAATAAAAAGCTAGTTATAAACATAGAAGAAAAAATGATATGGAGTGCCAATCAGATGTGGCCTAGTTAAAAGGTCAATCGATAGGAATCACCAGTCACATGAAGGTCAAGTGCACTTTATTGGGGTCAAAATGAGTCAATCTCACAAGGATAGACTTGAATCTATATATGGAAGAGTATTTATGAGTTTTATTCGGTAGTCCAATAGACTTTCTCACCCAAGTAGTCAATTGGGAGAGGGGAGGGGGCTAATGCATAGCATACCGTGTATCAGTATCAGATCAGACATTGCACATCACAAGAGTTGCTGAGGTCAATATTTTTTTTTCAAATACACACGAAAATAAACAAAATTTCAGAATGCCAATCAGTTTCAGTAGATCAGCTTCAATCCATTTTGCGGCATCAACAGCAAAATAATTCCAAGCATCACAATTGAAAATGATTGAACTGATGGCACAAAACCGATTAACTCAAAAAAATTCAGTAAAGGTGTTCGAATTAAGGAGCTCAACTACCGAAACACTGATCAACTCAATTAGCCAGGTTTCATTTTAATCCTGATACTGATGTCAAATTGAAATCATGGTTCAAGAGGTACGAGGACATTTTCCAAATCGACTTTTCTCATCATGATAACTCTTTGAAAGTGAGAATTCTACTTCGTACGTTTGGAGCAGGTGAGCACGAAGAGTATTCAATCCCTATCTTGACAAAGAAACCCAACGGTTTTTCTTTCAATTTACTGTGCAAAAATTAACTACTAAGAAAGTAAGACTGGGCAGTGCTAGAAACAGTGCTTAACACAACAGGAAGTCTTATTATGGGTATAAAGTTTAGAAAAATGTTTACTGTTGAACTACAGACCAAAATCTTTTGAGTAACTTAGCTGTCAATGTGATACAGAACAGGCTAAACCTGAGGTATACTGCACACAAAAGATCAAATAATTTAATGGTTAAGCTTTTAAAAAGCTACATATAAATATAAAGCTACATATAAATGACTGAAAGCTCATACAAAAAACTGAACAAAGCAACTTCCTTCAAGATATAGAAGAAATTGGGTGATAAACTGCCACTTCTCCAAAAAGACCTACCGGCTTCACCCCTTATGTTTGTCTGGGAGGGGAACCCTAAAAGTAACACACATAATGCCTGAAGTAAAGCCTGAATAGTATAAATACAAACCATCGGAAACTACTCACAAAATGACTGTATGTTGTCGCACTCTCAATTTAATAAAATCAACCGTAACCCAACTATCTCCATTGGTTCCATAAGGAGATAAATAATACAGTCATTCAGCTTCAACGTAGGACAAGGCACATATATAGATCGGTCCAAGTTGCCATACCTCATTAGCACAACAAGATCACCAAATTCATAGAAGTAGCCAATTTAATGATAGTAAGAAAGATTGTATATAAGGATATAGTACAGGAAGAAAGACAGATATGAAACAATCTTAATCTCATGGTTTGAGGGAAGTCAAAGAGTGTATATACCTACACCATTGTGATAGATTCTGATCCATGTCACGCAGAGTCGCCAACCAATGGTTACAATAGTCACACGGACCCTAACCAAGTAGTTTGAATCTACCAATATGGCTCAGACCTCACTATTACTTTCCCGGTGATCCCAGTAGATGCGAGCAATATTTCTGAGACATCGTTGGTCAAATACTAGTAACTTAGGTGTATCTTCTACCGTTAATGGCCACGTTTCGCAGCCGTAAAGTAGAATAGAACGAACTTCTGTGCAGTATACTCGTCCCTTAATTGATAGACAGATATCTCGCCTTCGCAATAGGTGACGTAAGTTGACAAAAGCCAAGCGAGCTTTTTGAATTGGTGCTGAGATTTCTTTAGACACCAACCCATTAGGTCTGAACAGAGTTCCAAGATAAGTGAAGTTGTCGACGCGTTCGACTACTTCACTCACTATTCTTAGTT